TTGTATTGTACTTTACATACAACTTCAAATACTATGATATAGTTATTTTACTAATTTTAGATGCTTAGTCATCTATTACAATATGAAAATGTGCACTCATTATTTAAATATAAACTAAAAGTGAATAATATAAATAATATTGATATGTGCTCATGATACACAAATTGCTTAAATCAAAAATTATAAATTTAGGAAAATAGATATCGCTTTGAGTGTGAGATAAGAAGTCCACTTGTTTAAGTTTACCTTATGAAATCTGCCTATTCTACTAAAACTTCATAGAGGAAATGGTTGTCCAATTTATATTTGTAGATCAATTACAATGGATTCCTGAGATGATGAATAATGGCTATGATGCATTTAGATGGAAATCAAAAGTTAAGAATCTTTTTTCAATCACATGGAATTTAAATTACAGATTCTAACAGTTGCTGCTCAATTATCAGAGAGAAAAAGTAATGTTCAGAAATCACATATTATCGACTTATTAAAGATGATTTTTCCAAATTGGATCAAGAATTTTTAATAGTTAAAATAAACAGACTAGATTAATAAATTATATTTAATCTCATAATAAGTGCATTTTAGAATTAATTTATTGTTTGTTTAATTTATTTCATTATAAATTAAATAAATTATAATAAAAAAACATTCTTATTTAAATTTATAAATATCTTAATATTATTCTGACAAAGAATTATTTGCTTGAACTTTACTTTTATAAGGAAGATAGTTAATTAAACTTAATTATCTGAATAACCTGATAATTAGAAGCCAATAACAAAGAAACCCCAAAACCATAAATTTAATAATATAATCTTAAATTTAAAAAGATTGTCCTTCTTCTAGAGAATAATCAAATTTACTTTATCATTGCTTATAATGGTTTTGAGAATAAGTATCTAAATCAACTAAAAATCAACTAAAGAAGCATTTGCAATAATTGATGAGAAAATCTCGAAAATTTAAGTTTAAATATAATTAGATGAAATTCAATTAGGTTAATAAATTGAAATGAAAAAATAATGCTTCTTGTAAAGAAAAAAATTAGCAAAATCTACTAAAATTGAAGATAAAACGAAAAACTTATTTATATTAGATGGATAGTTAAGGTTAAAAGAGATCTTAGGATTTATGTTCTTTATAAAATAATAATAATTAAAATCCAAGCTAAAACTATTATTCATATTATTTTATAGATATTTCTTCTTCATATGAAACATCAAAAATATAATTAATAAATAAATTGATTTAAAGCAATTTACTTGATTTATGAAATTCGCTACATTTTCTTTGTCTCAACATCTATATTAATATTAATTATTTTATCAAAATTAATTATTAAGAAATGAAAATGTTTTTTTGAAATTTTTATTTTTTTTTCACAATAATACTTGATCTCATCATTAAAATATCATTTATTTAAGTTGTTGTGAAAGTCAGAATTGTTTGCAAGAACATGTTATACTATTTTATAGCAGTTAAATAATAATAATTATCAAGTAAGTATTAATCGATAAAACTGCATTAACCTAAAAGGTCACTCAACTTGAATGTGGCATCTATCATTCTTTGAATAAAGGAAATCAGATGATTGTTTGCCTGCCTATTTTACCTTTACTTCTATATGTCTGTTCAGTTTCCAGTAAGAAAATTCATTAAAATAATTAAAGTATTTTCCTTCTATTATATCATTCTTTAAGTTCTCTGCCGAAATTATAAGAGGTATAAGTGAATTCAACTAAAAAAATATAAATATTATAATAATAAGAGCCAATTATCATATCAATCTGTATTTATTCAATATTGTGTAATAATCTTTTAATATAAGTTTTTTAAAGGTTAATAGAGAAAGTAAATTAACAGACAATAATTAAAAGAATAGATAATGGTTGTAACATCATTTCCTATACACATATAGATGTAACAATCATTTCATTATGTGTAGTTACACAACCATCGTTTACAATATTGCTCTAATACAATTATTATAAATATCTATATATAATTAAATCATCAAATAAAAGGTTAAAAATTATTTTGAGCACCTTATATAAGATGATTTTATCTAATC